CAGCAACAAAACCACATTTGTAGCCATTTACAACACCCTGTGATCACATGACTGCAATTTACAATGTTTTGGCCAGAAACTATCTGTACAATTATCACTCTGAAGCTAGAAAATGGGACAGGTTTACTTCTGCAATTCTGCTATCCTTTGGAGGCACTATGCTCATGACAACAGAAGTAAAGATACCTATCTTTCTTTCCATCTTCACATTTGGAGTCAGAAGAAAAAGCAAAGAATTATTTTGCTGTCACATCACTGATGCACTCTAGACTGCAATCTAAGCAGAAAGATGGAGAGAAAAAGGTTTGGCACAGTTGGAAGCCAGGCTATTCTTAGAACCACAACCATAGCTTGAGGCTAGTGAGAGGCTGGCCTTCCTAGTACATTCAAGAGGAGGCAATGAGGCACTTGCTCTGATGAGTAGAACTACAGGATCCCACAGTTGGAGAGTAACCTCTGCCCACCTCAAATACAGTTGTCGACAACTCCTCGTTGACTTTTCTCATAAATCAGTAGCATTTTACAGGAGAGATCAATCAATCCTGAATTTCACAAGGTCTAATCCTTCAGAAAAAAAGGTTTCAAAGATACTTTATTCTAAACCAAATCTGAAATGTCAATTGAAAGGATAAAGTAGAATGATTCCATCAAACCAAGAGAATCAGCACAGATTTGGCAAATTCTCTACCCCATTATACATAATTATACATAATGCAGTAATTCAACATCTATAGCAATTTTAACAATGTTGTTTTTTTCTCACATCTTTTCTAGGGATCATCTAGGAGCCACTGCAGAAGAATGAAGATAAACATTGTTACTGTCTAACAAAAGACAGTAACTGGTGTGTGTGTGTGTGTGTGTGTGTGTGTGTGGTGGCTCAGTGGCTAAGACTTTGAGCTTGTTGATCAGAAAGGTCGGAAGTTCAGCGGTTCGAATCCCTAGTGCTGTGTAACGTGGTGAGCTCCTGTTACTTGTCCCAGCTTCTGCCAACCTAGCAGTTCGAAAGCACGTAAAAAATGCAAGTAGAAAAATAGGGATCACATTTAGTGGGAAGGTATCAGCGTTCTGTGCGCCTTTGGCGTTTAGTCATGCCGGCCACATGACCACAGAGACGTCTTTGGACAGTGGTGACTCTTCAGCTTTGAAACAGAGATGAGCACCGCCCCCTAGAGTCAGGAACGAGTAGCAAAAAAAATCTTATTTGTAAATCTAACAATACTTAGTTTTACTAATACTTTATGTACCAAATACAAATTCAAACTATATCAAAATTATTTCCATAGCTAATGAACAAAAACTCATCACTTATTTTTCTTCTCTCTAGATAATCAGTATTAAAGAAATTCTAATATTCTTTATTTTATATGAGTTGATATTTTTCTATGCCTCTTGCAAGTACCATATAGCAAAACTAAGAGCGAAAATTTTTGCAAAACAAAAAAGGGGAACAATCCATTTTTTTATCCAACTGATCTTCACACTTACAAAATAATCATTAACTTTTATTCTTATTTATACAACCACCTGCTTTTTGCATAGGCCCATCAAAAGTACTGATATAAGAAATTATATTAAAGGGTATATGGCTGTATTTTCTAGAGATCATGCATATCACTCTCCAAATTCCCCAAGAATATGTACATAGGAATACATATGCATACACAAACAGGCCCATATCTTGCTCTTGGGCACAGGATTTTTTCTGCCAACTTAATTCCAACATAGGATTTACTTATTTTTTTTGATACAATGTAGACTGCATCTATTTCTCCAAATACTCCAAATACCTTGAGAATTCTCACTCCAAGTTACTCTCCAAACTACCATCATAACATCTTCCTAACCAGGGAAGCCAGGGCATAAAACTAATCCATATGCCTAAGTAATATGCATTTCTTTCCTTATCAAAGGATGCTCATTTCCATGCAAAGCATCAATAGAAGCAATTTCCTGTCATGTCATTCCACTAAACCTTTATCAACAGACTCCAGAACATCAGAGATTTCCTGGGTACACACTGGATGGATTCTAATATCAATGGAAGAGAATTCCAATATCACTAAAGCCCATGGCTCAGTTTTGGCCTCCTGACATTTTAAAGTGCTTTAAGAGGCTGTTCAACTATAAGGCTAAAAGCGTCCTGTTTTTTAAAGGCAAGAGTTGGGGTGGAAATGAAACCAGAAGGTCTCTGGAAAGCAAACTTCTCCATTTATCTCCCATAATATGGATCAAAATAAATTTTCCAATATAGGCCATTTTAAAAATTGAGAGAATTAAGGGTGGGGATGTGGAAGCAGCTTTACCTCTCACCCCTATCTAAAATATTAAGCTATAATGTGGGGCATTGGTTTACCATGAAGCATAAATCCAGCCAATGTGATTTGTAAACCACTGTTAATGGCTTTCAGAGCATTATGTCTTGTTCAAATGTACTGTACTCAACAAATTATTAAAAGAAACTATATTATGATCTGGGAGATTGACTACTTTTTCCCACTTATGGTCAGCATGGGTGTTTTCCTATTTCATAGGGAAACAGCCCTCCTTTCTCTTTATTATTTATTACACCAATTTCCTTTTCTCAATGGAAAATTACTCTACGATTAGTATTTTCTAGTTTAGATAGAACATTTTTAAAACCCATTGGTTCCTTAATCAACTAGTACATGATTATGTCATCATATCTATTTAGAGAGACTCCACCTTCTTGCTTCATTTCATTTAGTCTTTCCTGCATCAGCATTTTCCTTGTCTATGAATCACAGCAAGAAGTGTGTTCCAAGACCCCATTAAAGCCACAGAATTGCTTTCCTGTTCCTCTATTACTTTGTTCAGTTTCATTGAGTACATCACTCCAGTGCCTTTCTTTTTACCAAGACAAATGCCGGAATGTCCTGATTTTATACTATTTACCAAAGCGATATTAAAAGACTCCCAGTTTATGACATATATAAAGACATTCCATATACAACTGACATCACATACCAAACAGAAATGAAAGGCTTTACAAATTTACACTGTGAATTTTTTACTTAGTATGTGCAAATTACAATCCTAAATATAATTACAACAGGATACATTCCTTAAATTGTTTATGTTAACAATGTTAATGTCCCTTCATTCCCCAAGGAGTTCTGAACACAAGAGTTTCCCTCCCTCACAATATCTACATATCTTCCTCGGGATGAAGGCTAAACCTACAAATAGCACTGGGCCAAATTTCCATGTATTATAGACTAACAGAACCTTCTTATATCCAATTATTTTCAAACACTCTACAACCACCATATACCAAAACGATTCACAGTAAAAATTCAAAGTAAACTGGGATGAATAAATTCTTCCCCTCCAGATACACTATATACACATAGTTTGACTGGATTGTCCTATGAAGAAGCGAGTGCCTACAATAACTGTTAAATATTGAACTTCCTGGTTTTACACTACTAGCTTCACTTCCTTATCAAGAGTGAAAGAATGTGGGAGCATAGACATTGGGAACTGGGCAGAATACAAATTTAATAAATAAAGCAGAGCAATTTATAAAAAACTTATTGCAGGGAAAATTGATCAATACAGATAGTCCTTGGCTTACGACCACAATTGAGTCCAAAATTTCTGTTGTTAAGTGAGATGTTTGTTAAGTGAGTTTTGCCCCATTTTATGACCTTTCTTGCCACAGTTAAGCGAATCTTTGAAATTGATAGTAACCTGATTAAGTGAATCTGGCTTCCCCACTAGTTTGCCTGTTAGAAGATTGCAAAAGGTGATCCCATGACCTTGGAACACAGCAATGCTCATAAATATGGATCAGTTGCCAAGCATCTGAATTTTGATCAGATGACCATGGGAATACCGGAAAGGTCATAACTGTGAAAAAATGGTCATAAATCACATTTTTCTGTGCCATTGTAATTTCGAACGGTCACTAAACAAACTATTGAAAGTCAAGGACTACCTGTACTCCCAATAACCACACAATCTGGTTATCTAAAAGCCATTTTAAACGAACACAATATTTTCCTCTTTTGAAAAGTCACCCCACTGCCTTTAGTAAGATTCTTTCAAACAGTAAAAAACTACACCTCTGCTGTGATTCTTTACACAATACCTGTATAAACAGCCAATTGATTGCAAACAAATAGGATCAGTATAGATATGGACCAAAGTAGAAAACTATGTAACAGGATTTCTGAATAGATAGGTTAGACCAGAATCTACGTGTAGTTCTCAGATTTCCTATCTAACATGAACATGGAAAATAGATTAATTGTCTTTGTATGGTGCAATGAGAGCAGCACAGTTTTGGGTCCCATGAATGCTAACAAATATGTTACAGGATAAACTTGCAGGTTTCATAACCCTCAAAAAGGAGGCGGCGTGAACCTTCACCTTTAATCCAACCTGAACTCTCTTGTAGTTTTACACCTTTCTCACTTTAAATTGTAATTTTAAAAAGGAGCAACACGTCCAAGTAAGACAAGTTTAAAACATTTTAAAAAGTTTTCTCCCCGCCCCTCCCTTATGGAAATAATTCGGGGAGGAAGAAGAGGGACAAACAACCAGGAGAAAGCTCTAGAGTAGGAAGGGCTCCTGATTTTGGCTCTCGCCTTGACCCACGAATTCTCGGGCACGGGGCTCCGAAATCCTTTCCGCGAGCCCCATTCACTTACCTCAGCCATCACTGTGCACTTGGGAGGATGTCGGGGAGCCAGCAGGAAGGAGAAGACGAGGGGCCGAAGTTTGTATTTGTCCCACTCCAGTACCAGGCGCCATTCGTAGGACAAGCCACGCCCCTCACCTGTCTGGGGCACCACCCGCATAGGCCACGCCCCTCGCCTCCGCGGCCGTCGCCTCCTCTACGTCACCCCCAATGGCGCCACTCCCACTACGATATAGAGCACCTTTCCAGTTTGCCTCTCCCCCCACAGCTCTTTAAGGCGACCCCTGGTCTTTTTCTTCCCCACATCCCCTCGCTGCCACGGGGTGAGGCTTACCCGCCTACGGCCGCCTCCTCCGACGCGCTTCCCACTCAGCTCTTCACCACCGAAGCGAACCGTCCCAACCGTCCGCCATTCCACGGCTTTCCCCCTCAGCTTCCCCTCACCGATCGTCGTTCCACCCACTCCACCGGTCCGTTATCTCATTGGCTCTCGGGCGTCTTCCCGCTCTCGCTGGATTGGCCGACTTCCTCTGCCTGTCAAACGTTACCCGACGCGATTTGCGTACCCAGCCAACTTCCTTTTTTTCTTTCCAACGACCACACCCTACGAAGCCTTTAAAAAAAGGGGGAAAAAGTAAACAATATGGGCCGTACCATATTCTGAGACTAGGAGGGGGATTCGTGTGGAGAGAACAGTTTCGGACAAAGGGGTGACAGTAGGCTTCGAAAAGAAGGGATCGTCGCACGTTGTCACTAAAAGAGAAAGAGAAGGCATCACTTGCGTTCTGTTTTCTCAGAAATGTATTAGATTCTCAAAGTCCCCTGTTTTGGTTTGCTCTCCCTTTATTCTGCTTCTCTAGGCCGGTCTGCTCTATGATCCTGAGGTTGGGGGAAAAAAAGGTTGAGTCCCCTGGCGTTGGGAGGTATTACTGCAGTGCAGGAAAGTTTGGGGAGTTCCAGATTGAAAAAACGGAGAGGAAAAGCGAAGCGACGGGAGGGTTGGGAAGGGGGGGATGGGGTGTCAGGCTTTTTCACACGTTACGCAGCAGCATGGTCACTGGGGGCTGTTCCAAGGGCTTTCCCCCCCCCCTCCTCCAAACTTCCTTTTCTTTGTACCATTTCTGAGACGGCTCGTTGCGGGGAAGCAGCCAGCCTCAATTTAGTGCCCTCCCCTTGTACGAACTACGACTCCCAGAATTCCCAGTGTGCCGAGCGAACACGCGGGGCGTCAGCTTGGAATTCGGGGAGTTGTAGTCTTAACTCGGGATTGTGAGGCGCTTCTGCAGATTGGGTGTTAAGGTTTTTTGAGGCAGCTCAGAATCTGATAAATCCAATGAAACTCTGAACACGAGGCAACTGATAATCAGCTTTTATTTCTGGCCAGAAAGCAAAAACTGGGCGACCCTTTATAGTCTCCTACCTTAACAGCAGGCAGAGAGAAAAACAGGCGCAAAAAAAAAAAACTTTTCCAAATTTATAGTTCACACAGCTTACATAGATCGTCATTGCTATAGAAACATTATTTCATATCACGCAAACCTCATGATCTTCTTCAGCCCTCTGAAAACAATGGACCTTAGCAAGGGAAAGAAATACATTTTCTGGCATATCACTCGAGCGTTGTTAGCCTCATTATCTCTTATATTAGGTTGCTGAGAATGCACATTTTAAGTTACAGCAAACAGAATCCACGTTTTGCTTTTCACAAGAAGTTACTTTTACCTACTTGGCAATTCGCCTAGAGAGGCTTGTTGGCACATTAAGTTACAATGGAGCTTCTCTCAACAGCAATTAACAAAAGCTGAATTAGGTTGCACTCTGTGTATGCTCTAAGCCTTTCAAAAGAATTGCAAGCTTTGTTCCTTTTTTTTTTCCCATCCCATCTTTCTGCATGTATTTATGTATGCTAATCTATTTTCTCAGTTTGGTTAGGGGGAAAAATCCCTAATCAAATGGACTGGCTTAAACTACAAGCACACACATTACACACATACACACTAAGTGCAGCTGCTAAGTGGGTGGCTGGCTTGGTTAATCAAAAACCTGTTTAGGCAAAGCAAGCCCCACAGACTTGCCAGAGGCGATTTCAACATCCTGGGAGGGAATATAAAAGTATTTAGAGTATCCCTCGGCCATTTCTGGCTCTTTGCAGGGCTGGTAGGGTTTGGATTCTTGAGAACCAAATCTGTTCCTGCCCTACCAGCCTCCTGCCCCACTCCCTTCTCAGGTATTCCTTTCCTTTTATGAGAAGGAACGTGGAAGCAAGACATGGAATCTGATACATCCAACGTTGTTTCTCCCTTCTGAGATCAAAGCCTGTGATCTAGAATGAGAAACTGGATGTGCTACTACTGTGGCTTGTTTGAATTCGAACACCTAGCTGGAGTTGGGCCTGGTTAGTATTTGGAAAGGCAAAATGGAAATGGATGGAAAGATCGTAACAGCAAACTCAGCTGGACAAATTTATTTATTGTTAAATTTCTCACCAAAGCAATAGTTAAGTAATAGAACCAGTGGTGGTTAAACCACTGCCGGTTTAACAACTGGCTTGCCCAGCACCAAAAATGTGAGCGCGCGTGCACACTAGCTTCGCTTGGGCATACGCCCTTCCACACATGCATGCAGCCTTCTGCGCACGCACACGGCTTCAAAAACATGGCGATATAGGGTGGGATAGTGCCGGGGTGCAGGTCGCAACTACCGGTTCGCCTAAACCGGTCCGAACCGGCAGCAGCCCACCTCTGAATAGAACAATAAAATAAATCAGCGGTCACCAACTGGTGGTCTGCAGATCACTGGTGGTCCACGAGAAAATTTTGGTGGTCTGTGGGACCAGTCCTGTGAGTGTGACTACTACAGCTCTGGAATATGGGACCGGCTGTGGCGGGGCTGGAAATCTCTGCCCTGGGGTGGCACGTGCAATGTGCAACTTTGCAGGTGGTGCAATACACAAAAAGAAGCGCAGCCCTCTCTGTCCGGAATGAAATAATGGTGCTGTTGCCGCGGTGGGGGAGGGGCGGCACAAGCAGGCCGAAGCAGTGATTGCGATGGCTGGAAGCTGCTGGAGCGAAGCACTATTTGCATTTGCGGGGCATCAGCATTCCGCCTTGGTATATTTGCATCAGCCGGTGATGCAAAGCAGCCTTCGTCTCCTGCCGCTTGGGATTCGGAGTGGTAAATGGTGACTGGTCCAGAGAGCAGCCAGATTTTGCTCTCCATTGCGGATGCCAGATTGGCCCCCTGCAAACTCTCGTCTCTCGAGGAGCCCGGCTGAAGTTTCCCACGCTGCTTCAGCGAGCTCTCCTCGAGAGACGAGAGCTTGCAGGAGGCCGATCTGGTGTCCGCAATGGAGAGCAAAATCTGGCTGCTCCCCGGACCAGTCGCCTTTTACCGCTCTGGGTCCCAAGCGGCAGGAGGCGAGGGCTGCTTTGTGCCACTGGCTGGCGCAAATATACCGAGGAGGAATGCTGATGCTGCGCAAGTTCAAGTAGTGCTTAGTTCCCGCACTTCATCTGGCCCTTGTTGGTGCTCCTCCCATCTCAGTCTCTCAGGGAGATGCTTGACTTCCTCTCAGCCCCAAAACACTGGCTGGCCCATGTGATGAGAAGGGAAATAGAATGAGAGAGAATCAGAGAGAGAATGAAAGAGAGAGAATGAAAGAGAGGGAGAGACAGAGACAGAGAGAGAATGAGACAGAGAGAGAGAAACAGTGTGAGACCCAGAGAGAGAAAGAGACAGAGAATGAAAGAGACAGAAAGAAAGAGACAGAATGAAAGAGAGAGAATGAGAGAGAGAATCAGAGAATGAGAGAGAATGAGAGAGAAAGAGACAGAATGAAAGAGAGAGAATCAGAGAGAGAGAGAATCAGAATGAGAGAGAGAGTGGGGGAGAGAGAAAGAGAGATGAGAGAGAGAATGAGAGAGAATGAGTGGGAGAAGAGAGAAAGAGAGGGGGAGAGAGAGAGAGAGAAAGAGAGAATGAGAGAGAAAGAGTGGGAGAGAGAAAAATAGAGAGAGAGAGAGAGAGAGAGAGGCAGGAGAGTGCCTGAAGGACCCCATCCCCATGCCTGAAGGACCCCATTAGTGGTCAGCGGGATTTAAAATTATGAACTTGGTGGTCCCTGAGGTCCAAAAGGTTGGGGACCCCTGAAATAAACAATGAAAAAGAACAACTGGAAAACATCAGTAGGATAAAATAGGTGTTTCAGAGCACGCAGGGACATCAGGATCCTTCTGCAGTTGTATTTTTCCCTGGGATTGCACAACCGCCTTCTGCAGTTGCAATGTGATCCCAGGAAAAGAAGAGTTTCGTTTAAAAAGTTGCAGGCCACAGACATTTGTGCCTTCCCATGAGATTTCTGAAGCACCTTTTTGCCCTTCAAACACATGTATATCCCTTTCCTTATCAGGCTGAGAAAATGACATATACAGATAGTCTCAATTTACAAACATAACCAGGACTGGAATTTCGGTCATAAGCCAGCAGTTGTAAGTTGAATCAGAACCAATTTTACAATCATATTTACAGCTTTTGTTAAGCAAATCATTGGTTGTTGAGTGAATCATGCAGTTGTTAAGCAATTCCAGTTTCCACAATGGGTGGGGATTTTTTGCTGCCAAGCGCTCAAATTTTGATCCCATGACTGTGAAGATGTTGTGACAGTTGTAGGTGCAAAAACCAGTTGCAACTCCCTTTTTTTCAGTGCTGTTGTAACTTCAAACGGTCAGTAAATAAATGGTTGTAAGTCAAGGACTACCTGTATGGGGAGGGGGGTGTTTCTCATATTATGCCACAACAATCCTGTGAGGAAGGCTGGACTAAGAGAAAGAAGAACCTGCCCAGTTAGTCAGGAGATCTGCTTTTGGGTCTCCCAGATCCTAATCTAACCCTATAACTGCAGGTAGTCCTCGACTTACAACCATTTGTACAGCAAGTGTTCAATGGCACTTGATCAAAATTCAGATGCTTGGTACCTAGTTCATATTTATGACGGCTGCAGTGTCCTGGGATCGTGCGATTACTCTTTGCGACCTTCTGAAGAGCGAAGTCAACGGGGAAGCCATAAAATGGGGCAAAACTCACTTAACAACTGCCTCAGCAACAGACATTTGGGGTTCAATTGTGGTCGTAAGTCAAGGACTACCTGTATTGTACTCTGCAGAGTTGCCATGGCATGACTTTTGACTTGAAGGTTGAATTCTTTAGGCGGTATTTATCACACCAACTTCTCCATTCTCTTCCCAAATTAGGACGCATGTGGAGATGAAGAGCTGGAATCCAGGTGTTTGCAAGAGACAAACTGCAGGTGTAAATGCTTGAATCAACTTCAGCAGAGATTAAAAACCCATGTGATGTACTCTGCACCTTAGCAAGCCCCCCTACATTCACCCCTCACACACACTTTGTGTTTCAGGAAGATTATTTTTGTATTTGACAGATCGTAACCATCCAATGCCCAGAACGTCCATTCAAAGACTTGCAAATGCACATGTCCCAGCATTTGGGCATGAGATTAGCATAGCTCCATTTCCCCTTTGCTTGAA